TCATGAGAAACACTGGGCTGGGAGAAGCACAAGCTAGAATCAAGATGGCTGGGAGAAATATCAATAACCTCAGATATGCAGATAACACCACCCTTATGGCAGAAAGTGAAGAGGAACTAAAGAGCCTCTTGATGAAAGTGAATGAGAGTGAAAAAGTTGGCTTAAAGCTCAACAATCAGGAAACTAAAATCATGGTATCTGGTCCCATCACTTCATGGCAAATAGATGCGGAGACAGTGGAAACAGTGGCTGACTTTATTTTTTGGGGTTCCAAAATCACTGCAGATGCTGATTGCAGCCATGAAATTAAAAGACGCTTAACTCCTTGGACGACAAGTTATGACCAACCTAGACAGCATATTAAAAAGCGGAGACATTACTTTGCCAAAAGGTCCGTCTAGTCAAAGCTATGGTTTTTCCAGTAGACATGTATGGATGTGAGAGTTGGCCAATAAAGAAAGCTGAGTGCCAAAGAATTGATGCCTTTGAACTGTGGTGTTGGAGAAGACTCTTGAGCATCCCTTCTACTGCAAGGAGATCCAACCAGTCCGACGTAATGGAAATTAGTCATGAATATTCACTGGAAGGACTGATGTTGAAGCTGAAGCTCTTAATACTTTGGCCACCTGATGTGAAGAACTGACTCGGCTGCAAAGACCCTGATGCAAGGAAAGATTGAAGGTGGGAAGAGAAGAGGACTACAAAGGTGGGATGGCATCACCGACTCAATGGACATGAGTCTGAATAAACTCTGTTGAGTTGATGATGGCCAGGGAAGCCTGGTGTGCAGCAGTTCATGGGGTCGAAAAGAGTCAGACGACTGAGCGACTGAACTGAACTGAACTCAACAGAAGGTTAAAGATAAAGACCTTTGGGAGGTTAGCGTTAGCATTGGAGGCTCACCATGTTCAGCATGCTATAGAGGACCCATTTGATACAAGCCTTTTCCTTATACGCTGCATCTCTTAGGCATGATATAGTGACTCATGTATACTCATGCTTGTGCCAGTGAGGAAACTGGTAGTAATGGGTGGGTTTTGGGGACATAGTTTAATGAAGGGACTATTTGCAGAGTTGTGGGCGTAGTTTAAGGTAAACGAGAAAGGATGATGAATCACCCAGGGACTAGTGACAGTTGGAAACAGTTACCTACTCAGGCAAGGAGGCAAGGGGCTGGGAGCTATGCTTGCGGACCCAGTGAGAGTTACAGGGATGGAGGAAGAGCCGCTGAACAAGAGCTGTGGCCGAGGAGGAAACATAGCAGGAATAAATGGTACTGCTTTCCTGTCTCCTTCCACTGCTGCTTTTCTGCTGATGCTTCCTTTTGAGAAAAGCAGTTTCACGTGCGCAGGCTTTCAGCCCTGCTCGGCCTCATGAGAAGAGGTCTTGGACTCGAAACACTTGTTTAGCAAAAGGTGAGGAGCTCACGCAGCCTGTGTTTTGTGGGGCTATCTTTTGCTGGTTCCGTCTTGCCCCAGCTCTCAGTGTGTCCGACCCCAGGGGTGGTGCGGGCTGAAGAGGAAGGGAGCACAGGGGCCAGTTTCCTCCTGTCACTGCCTCCCCCAGCCCGTGAGGCTCATGCACACGGCTGGGCTGCAGCTGGCCTTACTCTGTCTCTTCTCTGGGTAAGAAACGGTATTCTATCCAGTGCTTGAGCATTGTATTTGGCTTCCAAACTTTTATACCAAGATATACTGGGCAGAGATATTTAGAGTCCTCTTCTGGGATTGGTAACTAGTGTTTGGTGTTCTGTGAAAATTCCTCTCATTGGCAAAACCCAGCCAGTAGCAGGAGGGCAAATGAGGACTGGATAATGTAGTCTTTTGAGGCAAGTGGAGACAGAGGTACAGAGCAAGGCAGAGGAGAGTGGAAAATGAACCTGGGGGGACAAATAGAGAATAATCATCAGAGTATTCAATACTTATTTATTGAAAATTAAATTGAATGTTTAATTGTTAAACACAGTTGAGCCTTACATATTGTTAGGTTAAAGTGAAAAATGACCAAATGCCTAATGGTTTAATGTTTTTGATATAAATATCTTGACATAAAAATCTCTTTAGTAAGGCAACTTTTTTCCTCATATATATTTGAATAGTCAGAATAGTAAAAATGTTATAATAATTAATCTATTTAAAAAACCTACTTCAAAAACCACTTCTGTGAATCTTCTTTTACTCAGACAAATTTAAAAGTACATGTGCCAAGCCACTGTGCTAAGTCCTTTACGTACATTATTACTGTCATCCTAGAAGTGAATCCTAGAAGAATCACCCTAGAAGTGTAGACACTACTGCTTGGTGCTTGATTCATTGGTGAACAGAACAAATTCCACAAAGATCAGAGATCTTTATATTCTGGTATTAATATTAGTACACCATTTTGGTTTGGTGGTTGTTACCATTAGTATTCATGTTTATCAGCCATTTAGATGTTTGTTTTCTATGAAGTTCCTGACCTACTCTTTTGTCCATTTCTATTGGATTGTCTGTCTTATTAATGGGGAGGAATTCTCTGTATTTTTGGATATGTGCTTATTGTCTTTTATGTGTTGCAAATGAGTTCTTCCATTTTGTGGCTGGTTCAAGCTGAAATATTGAGAATATGTCAGATCTTGATAGGCACAGATAGATATTTCTAGTCAGATAAAAGAGTAAGTAGAGTTTATAAGGAAGGAAAATAAATTCACACATGCAGCTGAGTACTTTGGTTGAACTGAGAATTTTTAAAGTGAACCAATGGAAAATAAGACTGGAAAACTCAATATCTCTAGTCCTTGGAAAGCTCTGGAAAATGGCAAAAATATACCTCAACTTCCTTTTCTTTCTTTTTTAAACTTTTTATTTTGTGTTTGCATATAGCTAGTTAACAATGTTGTGGTAGTTTCAGGTGAAGAGCAAACGGATTCAGCCAACCCAGAACATCTTCTTTAAATTAATACACATCTGCCTTCAGTTTCAGGAGTAATTAAGTCTAGGCAACCTGAAGGGAGGACTTCCCTTGTGGCTCAGCTGGTAAAGAATCCACCCGCAATGCGGGAGACCTGGGTTCAATCCTGGGTTGGGAAGATCCCCTGGAGAAGGGAAAGGCTACCCACTCCAGTATTCTGGCCTGGAGAATTCCATGGACTGTATAGTCCATGGGGTCACAAAGAGTCAGACATGACTGAGCAACTTTCGCTTTAACTTAACCTAAAGGGAACCTTGAAGACTGTTTGGTCTCTCTGGCTAGCTAGCTCTAGGCTTGCCCTCTACCAGAGAAAGACTCTTCCTTCCCTAGGGAAGGAAGCCCTAGATTGTCCTAGGGCTCTGTCTGATGAGAAGGTGTATCTTAAGACTGGAACTGAAGAAGCCTAGATGGACTTTCTTTAGCTTGTCTGTGAAGAGCTCTATATTTCTAAGAGAGCACTGAGTGCATGAGTGCTCAGTTGCTTTAGTCATGTCCGACTCTTTGTGAGCCTGTGGACTGTAGCCCACCAGGCTCCTCTGTCCACGGGATTCTCCAGGCAATAATACCGAAGTGGGTTTGCTGTGCCCTTCTCCAAAGAGAGCATTACTGGGTGTTAAAGTTAGAGCACCTTCATACAGTTGGCCTTTGTGTCCTGATATTTATCCTTGTAGAGTCTCTCGTTGAATATTTGGGGTTTTGATTTCCTAAGACTTGCATTCCCTTATAGAACTTGAAAGCTAATGGCTATAGGGCTTTTTGGTTTTACTGTCCTTCCAGTCTCAACCTCCATTTTTTGACTTCTGCACTGATGTGAAATGAATCCATTCCTGTTCCCTGGTGAGATTGTTGTAGCTATTCTTAGTCTTTGCTGGATGTTACGGAATTGCCTCTCTCACCACTAATCAGACAAAAAACATTTCTATAGCGTCTCTCGTCAATCATGACCCCATCAAAATTTTGATTTGGCTGCAAATACCTGAAAACCGAAAATAGAAGTAGTATCTTAGGAAGCCAGAATTTTATTTTTATCTCATGTAAGTCGAGGCAATCCAGGGGCACTGTTGCAGCTCCACAGTCTTCCAGACCAGTGTCCTTCACCTCATTGTTCCTCCGTCCTTGGCCAACATGGCGGCTCCTGGTATAATGTCCACATTGCAGCCAGTAGGAAGGAGGAATGGAAAAGGGGAGGGATATTCCCCCGTCCCCTGAAAGACTTTGCAGAAGCTGCACACACTGCTCTGCTTATATCCTATAAGCAAGCCAACATTTACTAAACAATGCTGTACCTGAGTCTAAGGGAGGCTTGGAAATATGTGTCTGGCTGAAAATAGGAACTTTTGATCCTGTAGAAGAAAGGGAGAATGGATCTTGGGGGCGTCCATTGATCTTTGCTACCTAAAACCTTTTTCTGTTGCGATTTAAATATTTTCTCCAGGTAGTTAAGGAGAAAAGCACAGAATAATATGGAGTATATAACTAGTTCACAGTTTATCTGGGTGAGCTCATATTTTTAGACTCTGGATTTTTCGCTCTTATTTTAAAATTTTTACCTTGATCTAGAAAGGTAGAAATAAACTAGTTCTTAAGTTCTTCATCACTTTTACTAATTTTCCACAGTTTGGCTTCTTGGCTACACTTGGATATCATATTTTATTATATTTTTAAGTACAGTGGAGTCCATTTGAGCATCACATATGGAAAGGAGGAGGAAATAATTGCCTTTTATATTTATGGAAGATAAATACAGTAGACCCACTGTTAAGAATAGTCTATAGAAAACATTTTAGCAACAGGTAACATAAAAGCTCTTGGTCAGAATGAATTCAGATTACATGGAAATTGAATGAAATCTAAAATTAGTTCACTGAAAATCAGCCAATATAGTGTGTAAGAGATATAATCTCATAGACACTGCAGATATTTAAAACTTCTACAGAGCAGAGCTTGAAGAAAATGTGATATTTACCATAATTCTTCTCATTATTTTAAATGATTTACTTTAAAAACTCGTATGTAGCACTGTAAATGATAATCATTTTTTTCCTCTGTAGGCAAGAAGTTTGATAGCTGTGGGGCTGGGTATTGCAGCTCTTGGCTTTGCAGGTAAGATAAATAAAGGATACATATCAATAAATGTTGTAGGAAAAATATTTCCAAATAGCTTTTAGAGTGAATTTTGAGAAGACTCTCAGTATTCTGAGGTTTTTGGTTTTAAGACATGCATTCCCGTTGTTTACAGCATTCATAGTCCGTGAACATTTGTCAGTATAGATAAATTTTGTAGTGAAGGAAATTAATGCTACCAAAGTTTGGAAAACTAGCCCCAGTAATAATTGATCTTCCTGACATTTTTTTAGTTTGAGCTATAGTATAATGTTAAAAAATAAATTTTAATATGAAGCAGTATAAGTGATATGGGCTCTTCTGTACGCCCATATTTATTTTTTTCTTGCAGGTAAATTTATACATTTTCTGTCAGTTCTTTCTGAGCTAGTTATTCTTGTTAGTATGTTTATTACCCAATTTAATGTATTGGTGTAATTTCTTTGGAAACCCAGGAAGATTTCTTTTATTGCCAAAATCTTTTCAGAAACAATAGTTATAAAGATTTAAAGTAAAATTGCTATCATTTCCAGTCATTAATTTATAATTTTAAATTACATAGCTATTGTCTAATTAAATGTTCATCTAAGAGCATTTCTTTGTTGATAAAGATTTACATTTTTCAGTTAACTTTTGTGCCTCCTAAGAGCCATGGGTTTGATCTTATTAATTGTATCTTCTTTGTAGGTAGAGCTATTAATACATTCTATTGTGGTTATATGCAGTGACATCCAATAGGAAAAGAGACTTAAAAGATTTTGTTTTGTTTTGCATAATATTTAATTGCACACAACTCTATTTAAAGCACCTTACCAGTGAGAACTTTAGAATCAGGGCGATCAGTGGTTCAGTTTTTCTTGGTTCTTATACCATCAAAGTCTTATGTCTCATTTTGTAACTATAGTTAACTACTTATGGAGGTTTCATGTGAAGAGTATCATGTCTGAAAAGGAATTCTGACAGACTTGCCCATGAACATAAAAAAATTTTAGTATAAAGTGCTATAGCAGAATAGGCATCAATTCAGTTCAGTTGCTCAGTTGTGTCTGACTCTTTGTGACCCCACTGACTGCAACACACCACCCTTCCCTGTCCATTGCAGACTCCCGGAGCTTGCTCAAACTTATGTCCTCAAGTCGGTGATGCCATCCAACCATCTCATCGTCTGTCATCCCCTTCTCCTTGCACCTTTAATCTTTCCCAGCATCAGGGTCTTTTCAAATGAGTCAGTTCTTCGCAACAGGTGGCCAAAGTATTGGAGTTTCAGCTTCAGCATCAGCCCTTCCAGTGAATATTCAGGACTAATTTCCTTTAGGATTGACTGGTTGGATCTCCTTGCAGTCCAAGGGACTCCCAAGAGTCTTCTCTAACACCACAGTTCAAAAGCATCAATTCTTCTGCACTCAGCTTTCTTTATAGTCCAACTCTCACATCCATACATGACTACTGGAAAAACCATAGCCTTGACTAGACAGACCTTTGTTGGCAAAGGAATGTCTCTGCTTTTTCATATGCTGTCTAGGTTGGTCATAGCTTTTCTTCCAAGGAGCGAGTGTCTTTTAATTTCATGGCTGCAGTCACCATCTGCAGTGATTTTGGAACCCAAAAGAATAAAGTCTCTCGCTGTTTCCATTATCTCCCCATCTATTTGCCATGAGGTGATGGGACTGGATGCCATCATCTTAGTTTTCTGAAAGCATGTCTTTCTCATTTCAAATAAAAATCTTACATTTGAATTTGAAATAAGAGCAGGCATAGTTACTTCAAATTCAAATGTGAGATTTTTATTTGAAATTAGAGAAAGATATGCTTTTGCCAAGGTCTTCTTTCTAAACTGAGAAGAATTGGTATATGTACTGCATACATATTACACTGTTGCCAGATTCATTTTACTACCCAGAATATTAAATAGCAGGCATTTCTGTTTCATAGTCAGCTACAACTAAAGCTTAGAATTTAGAAGAAAAGTATTCCTAGAGTGTTAGAACTTTGCCTTCTCTTTTATGGTTAAGGTAAATGTCCAAATGCCAGTTCTTGAAGCCTTTGATTGCTTTTTTACATTGCTTTGATTGCATGATTGTGGTTTTCAACGAATTTTGAGACACTTTAAAAGCCATGGACATGAGTTTGAGTAAGCTCCAGGAGTTGGTGATGGACAGGGAACCTGGTGTGCTGCAGTCCATGGGGTTGCAAGAGTTGGACACAACTGAGCCACTGAACTGAGTTGAAAAGCCATATTTTATACTGTTGCATAATCAAATGAAAGTTGATCTCTATGTGATAAGAGATTTAGACGAGTTAAGGTTTCAGCTTTGTTTAATTTTACTTTAACATTCTCCTTGGTTTCAAGAGCTTTTCATCTCCTACCTAGGTTAAGTACTTCACATCTTCCTAGGTCTAACTAGCATCCTTTGTTTTTCACTATAGCATGTTGTCTGAACAGGAATAACAGTATATTTAGACAGGTGGCAAATTTGGAAAACTCAGCAGTGTCCACAGGACTGGAAAAGGTCAGTTTTCATTCCAATCCCAAAGAAAGGCAATGCCAAAGAATGCTCAAACTACCACACAATTGCACTCATCTCACACGCTAGTGAAGTAATGCTTAAAATTCTCCAAGCCAGGATTCAGCAATATGTGAACCGTGAACTTCCACATGTTCAAGCTGGTTTTAGAAAAGGCAGAGGAACCAGAGATCAAATTGCCAACATCCGCTGGTTCATCAGAAAAGCAAGAGAGTTCCAAAAAACCATCTATTTCTGCTTTCTTGACTATGCCAAAGCTTTCGACTGTGTGAATCACAATAAACTGGAAAATTCTGAAAGAGATGGGAATACAGACCACCTGACCTGCCTCTTGAGAAACCTGTATGCAGGTCAGGAAGCAACAGTTAGAACTGGATATGGAACAACAGACTGGTTCTAAATAGGAAAAGGAGTACGTCAAGTCTGTATATTGTCACCTGCTTATTTAACTTCTATGGAGAATACATCATGAGAAAACGCTGGGCTGGAGGAAGCACAAGCTGGAATCAAGATTGCTGGGAGAAATATCAATAACCTCAGGTATGCAGATGACACCACCCTTACAGCAGAAAGTGAAGAAGAACTAAAGAGCCTCTTGATGAAAGTGAAAGAGGAGAGTGAAAAAGTTGGCTTAAAGCTCAACATTCAGAAAACTAAGATCATGGCATCTGGTCCCATCACTTCATGGCATATAGATGGGGAGACAGTGGAAACAGTGTCAGACTTTATTTTTTGGGGGCTCCAAAATCACAGCAGATGGAGACTGCAGCCATGAAATTATTTTTTTTTTCTTTTTTTTCTCCATTTATTTTTGTTCATTGGAGGCTAATAACTTTACAATATTGTAGTGGTTTTTGCCATACATTGACATGAATCAGCCATGGATTTACATGTGTTCCCCATCCCGATCCCCCCTCCCACCTCCCGCCCCATCGCATCCCTCTGGGTCTTCCCAGTGCACCAGCCCTGAGCACCCGTCTCATGCATCCAACCTGGGCTGGTGATCTGTTTCACCCTTGATAGTATACTTGTTTCAATGCTGTTCTCTCTGAACATCCCACCCTTGCCTTCTCCCACAGAGTCTAAAAGTCTGTTCTGTACATCTGTGTCTCTTTTTCTGTCTTGCATATAAGGTTATCGTTACCATCTTTTTAAATTCCATATATATGCGTTAGTATACTGTATTGGTCTTTTATCTTTCTGGCTTACTTCACTCTGTATAATGGGCTCCAGTTTCATCCATCTCATTAGAACTGAGTCAAATGAATTCTTTTTAATGGCTGAGTAATATTGCATAGTGTATATATACCACAGCTTTCTTATCCATTCATCTGCTGATGGGCATCTAGGTTGCTTCCATGTCCTGGCTATTATAAACAGTGCTTGACTGCAGCCATGAAATTAAAAGACGCTTACTCCTTGGAAGGAAAGTTATGACCAACCTAGATAGCATATTAAAAAGCAGAGACATTACTTTGTCAATGAAGGTCCATCTGGTCAAGGCTATGGTTTTTCCATTGGTCACGTATGGATGTGAGAGTTGGACTGTAAAGAAAGCTCAGTGTAGAAGAATTGATGCTTTTGAACTGTGGTGTTAGAGAAGACTCTTGAGAGTCCCTTGGACTGCAGGGAGATCCAACCAGTCCGTCCTAAAGGAGATCAGTCCTGGGTGTTCATTGGAAGGACTGATGTTGAAGCTGAAACTCCAATACTTTGGCCACCTGATGTGAAGAGCTGACTCATTTGAAAAGACCCTGATGCTGGGAAAAATTGAGGGTGGGAGGAGAAGGGGATGACCGAGGATGAGATGGCTGGATGGTATCACCAACTCGATGGACATGGGTTTGAGTAAACTCCTGGAGTTGGTGATGGACAGGGAGGCCTGGCATGCTGCGGTTCATGGGGTCTCAAAGAGTCAGATACAACTGAGCAACTGAACTGAACTTGTTATAAAAGACCTATGTAGTTGAATTACTACCTATGTAGTAATCTTAAAGCAAATAACATGGTTAGAAGCTTCAGAGGATCATAGCTTTTAGAAAAGAGACACCAGTATTAGTAGACACACAGTCTAATTAGGACACACATTCTGATTAGTCTGATGGTATTTTACGCTTGTTCTTTGCCCTCAAAACAGGTTAGGACCTGTTTTGCTATTGATACTTAGTGTCTAGTCTAAGAGGAGTTTTGATAATTAGGATGACTAAGAAAGGAAAGTACTAAAATAAAAGAAGCTTTTGGTCATCCTCAGTGAGAAATTGATAGTAAACACGTTCTTTGTAAATATTTCCCACGTAATTGCTTTATTACTTTAGCAGTAACTTCATTAAAAGCAGTCCTGTGTTGTATAGATCATAAACATGACTTGTTTTCTATGTATTTCAAAGTGATTATCATTGTGAGAAGCAATAGAATTGTTTTTAATTTGAGTAAATAAAATGAAATCTGTCGTCCATGTAACTAATTAGAAGTTTGAAAAAATGACTGTCTTTCTGGAAGGTTTTGAAATAGTTATTAAACTAACATATATAAAGTAAACTATAAATAACTGCTATGGTGAGCACCTTGTGGGTATTAGCTTTCATTACAGAAAATGTATTTGCCTTTATTCCTTTTACTATTATATTTAGGTCGCTATGCATTTCAGATCTGGAAACCTCTAGGACAAGTAATCACAGAAACTGCGAAGAAGATTTCAACTCCTGTAAGTTAAAAATGAGTTTAGTTAGAAATCTAAACTTACTTTGAAGTTTCTTGGGCATATTGTATCTATGCTTATTCCTGACTTTGATAATTACTGTATTCCTTTTAGTAGTATTACATCAACTTTGGGATAATTTGCTTTCCTTGTTCAATTTGTGTTCATTTATTCATTCAGTGATTGTCCTGTGCCAGGGGCTTGTCATAGCTGGTGAACAAAATAGACATGGTCCCTGTCCAGATGGAGCATGCCGCCAAATTTGTTTCATCTTGAAATTTGAAACTAGCTTCCTTGTACCACTGCACCTGGCTGTCTCAAACAGGAAATTATATGATTCGAACTTTCAAATCCTGTAGGGCTCATACATACATCTGCCAGCATCACGGCTCCTCTGCTGAGCGGAATCTAAGTGAAGAATGAATGGTAGTAGGTATCTAAGAAGCTATAGTGTGGTAGCTGGGGTTTGTGACCCCTGGTGACCATGTCCAGAAAGCTTACAGAAGCAGTGGAGCATTAACACTGACTTCTGGGAAACAGAAGATCTGGGATACATCAACTTGGCTTGCAGCAATTTGAGAATGGGTAACTTGATTCAGCAAAGGCATTATAGGCCCCTGAGGCTTAGTTATGAACAATAACCATACTTTAAAAGGATGACAAACGGACAGGTAATTAAACTCAGGGACGAAAGAACTACAAGTGACTTTGCCAATTGAAAATTCATGTCTGTGATTAGAGGGAGTGTGTGTTTATTTTCTGCTTTTCTGTTTATATTTCGTCTTAAGTATTAATAGGCATTTACTGATAGCATTCATTCAACAAATGTTCATTAATCACCTACTACATGAAAGTGAAAGGTGCTCAGTCGTGTCCGACTCTTTGGGACCGCATGGATTGCAGCACCCCAGGGCTCCTGTGTCCTCCACTGTTCCTGAGGAATCCATCGAATTCTCCAGGCCAGAATACTGGAGTGGGTAGCCTTTCCCTTCTCCTGGAGATCTTCCCAATCCAGGATTGAACCCAGGTTTCCCGCATTGCAGGCAGATTCTTTACCAGCTGAGCCACAAGGGAAGCACCTGCTCCATACTAGACGTAATTATGGGGAGTGCGAGGTAGTCATGAACCAGATAAAGACACTGACCTCTAGAAGTTTACTTTTTAGTGGAGACAAATCACAAATAAGTAAGATATATAATATGTAGAGGTATTGAAGTTAGAAGTTTAGTTTTCTTTACAAAACTAAATCAGGGTGCATGAAGTCCTAGTCACTTCAATTGTGTCTGACTCTCTGCAACTCCATAGACTGTAGCCCACCAGGCTCCTTTTTGTCCATGGAATTTTCCAGGCAACAATACTGGGGTGACTTGCCGTTTCCTCCTCCAGGGAGTCTTCAAACCTGTGTCTCCTGCATTGCAGGTGAAATCTTTACCACTGGACCACCCAAATCAGAGTAAGAGATGGATTTTTTAACAGCAGAGAAGAGTCTATTTTAGATAGGTTAGGGAAGGTCTCTCTGAGAAGGGAACAGACCATGTGAACATCTGAAGTGCTTCCTAGGCAGTGGGAATGCTGCAGAGATCCTGAGGCGGGAATGAGCTTAGCGGCAGCAGTAACTCCAGTATGAGCGTGTGGAAGGAGTATTGGTCGTTTGGACCCACATCACTTAGGGCCAAATAGACTGTGACAAGGACTGCAGATTTTAAGCCTGATGGAAAGCCTTTGGAAGGTTATGAGCATGAGGGCAGCAGACTAGAATAAGCCAAAGGAGAAGCTGTGAAATGTGTTGAGAGGGCATTGAGATAGTCCAGGGACTAGGTGATGGTCAGTAGAAATAGAGCAATAGGCCTGGAAATAGTGACATAAATGTTTGTTTTTCCACGTTTGTTATTGTTCAGTCACTTAGTCGTGTCCAACTCTTCGTGACCCCGTGGATTGCAGCACCCCAGGCTCCTGTGTCCTCCACTGTTTCCTGAGGAGTTCTCAGATTCTTGTCCACTGAGTTGGTGATGCTATCCAACCATCTCATCCTTTACTTGCTATATGTTTATGTGTAGTAAACTGGGAGACTTTCAGAAATCATTTCTCTCCTGTTTGATGATCTTTAGTAGACAGACTTATAACTAGAAGACTCATGTTTTGTAGAATTACATTATTTAACGTTGTAAAGGAAGGGAGAGAAAGAAAACAAGAAACATTTCACTGCTCTGTGGAGGCTCACAGGTAAGGTGGCGTAGTTTAAGAGACCATCATGGGTGTCCTGAAAGGAGGCCCCAGCATTTCTTAATAAGAGGAAAGGGATACACCCCACCCTTCCCTCTGTGGCCTTCAAGTTAAAACAAGTGGCTTTCATCTGGCCTCTTTTCCACAAAGTACTACTCATGCAGTTTGCAGTAAAGCCTCTTGGAGTATCTATCATCATCGTAATTAAACCTCAGTGAAGATGTTAGTTTTTGAAAACAATTCTTTAAACATTAATTGTTCCAGGGAAATTGAAGAATGAAAAATATGCATACTTCCCCTTGGCATTGATCTCAAAAAGCCAAGTTCATAAGCTCGGCATTTACAGTATTTTGATTTTATAACTCTGTTCATTATTGAACCAGTTACTAACAGATAGGGCCTGCAGTCATGTTTCAGTAAATTCCTGTCGCTCAAAGGAGAAGGTTCACAACTCAGGTTCCTGTGGGCTCCCTCTTCATTTTTTCTCAGTGTATTTGCTCCTGTGCTTTAACATCAGTTTGTTCTTCTGTCTCATCTTTTTCTCACGCTTCCCTCTCTCCCATTCTTCTGGAGTGTTGCCTAGAATACTTCCTTTCACATGGAATGTATGGAGAGTTTGTTTCTTCCCCTCTTTCCGTATACAGCTGTTTGTTCTGTAAGATCCTCTTATATTTTTTCCTTCCAGTGTGTCTCTGCTCCTGGAACTCATTCGTGGCCTCTTTCAGCAGTCTGATAGATTTGCTTCAATAGTTTAATTGAATGAGAGGATTGGCAGTGTGCTGTGAGCACAGAGGTGGGTTAGGTCCACAGTCACATCTCGTCCGAAGCAAGGAGCCCAAAGGCTGTCTGGGAGCCTGCAGAACCCAGGTGTAGTTGAGTACTCTGTTTATTTACTCCTTGGTATAAATGTCCCCTCTCTTCAGCCCTCTGGGTTCTGAAATGTGATCTGTTGTTAAGCCTCTCTGCTTCCCTTGGGACCTGCTGTGTACACTAAGGTGCATTCCAGGCATAGAGCCTCTTTTTTGGCCTGAGGGCTGAGGCGGCAGGCGGCAGCCCTCGGCCCTGTACTGTGGAGTTAGGAATGGTCTCTGTCTGCTGTCCTGGTTTCATTAATTACCCTGATGCTATGTTTTGTGTTTGTTGACCCTGGATTGAGGGTTTTGTCTTTCTTTCCTCTGGTGAGTGGGTTGCTGTGATTTTTCTTTATGTGCAGTCTTACCTGTTTTAAACCTTTCAGGATTTCTTTCAACTTTCTGCTTTGGTACTTGTTCCATTTCTTGTTCTCTAGGCCTATTATGGATTTTTCTTGTTTATAATATCTCATTTCTCATTTCAAAGAGCCTTTGGAAAGTAAAAGACTTATTATTCAGTCTGCTATTTTTAATCAGAGCTTTTTACTTAATTTTTTTTAAGTATTCATGTATGTTTATTGACTCAGCTATTGTCTGATTACCCCTAATTTTTTCTGGAGAAAAAACCCAAGTCGTTCATCTTCTTTTGAGGCTTTTATTTTTCTATGTGTGAATTTGCCTTTTTACTTGAATATAAGCTTTTAAAATTGGACTTATATTGTTTTTATGGTTAGGTGGAGTTCATGGAAATAATACTATTAGAACTATCCTTCTGTGGATCTATAAATCAAGTAGATGATTCTACATAATTAAAGTTTATAGTTTATGGTAAATGTAAAATGTATTTCTTCTCTTAAGACTATGGAATGATGTATTTTTCTGGTTGTTTGGAGGGCTGTTATGTTTCAAGTGATTGAGTAAATTAGCTAATGAAGACGTTCATTTAACTTGGTTAATTTCACATCATTTTTGATAATACATAGCACTACAGTATTCAATGTTAATTTTAGAAGGAAAATTATTTTGACTTTAGTTTATACATTTATATATTTTATGCATAAAGTAATACAAATAATAATTTGTAAGGATTCGAGTATCTTTCAAATAGACAACAGAATAAATCCCACTCCTTCTGTTCTTGGAAATTCTATTAGAAAAATTTAACTATCTACTCCATCTGTTTGATATAGTTGTTCCTTATTATAATCACATTTTTTGTGAATCTTACCATTTTGTTGACCCACCACTGTTGTCAGAAAACAGTTCTGCATTCATTGCCTGTTTCTATATAAGCTATATAATGCAGTATTGGTATCTTATATTTGTAAGCTTCAAAGGGCTTACAATTTCAATTGAAAATTATGTAATAAAAAACCTAAACTCCACTTGAGTTTAGAAGGCATGATTTTGTGTTCTACTTTTCTATCTATAGCCCCAAATATTAAATGTCTGTCCTCAAAAATGATCTAGTTCCTTCAGAAGGATCGTGATAATTGTATAGTTACAGATTGACTTACTTGAAAGCAGGTCAGTATTTATGGTCTGAGCCTCATCCAGATGCTAGACTTCAACCTTTTCTTAGTCACCTTTTCTACCTGGTAAAAAACAAAGTAAAAAATTTGCTTGGATGTAATAGCCGCTTTTAGGGTTAATGAACTTTGTGAATATAGTGGAAATGACAGTTTATGAAATGTCATCAATTTATGTTTATTGTATGCTGAAAACTTTAAAATTTGGAACTCCCAAAGGTAGATACTCATAGAAATATTAGGGAGTGGTACATATACACAATGGAATATTACTCAGCCATTAAAAAGAATTCATTTGATTCAGTTCTAATGAGATGGATGAAACTGGAGCCCATTATACATAGTGAAGTAAGCCAGAAAGATAAAGACAAATACAGTATACTAACACATATATATGGAATTTAGAAAGATGGTAATGATAACCCTATATGCAAGACAGAAAAAGAGATACAGATGTATAGAACAAACTTTTGGACTCTATGGGAGAAGGAGAGGGTGGGGTGATCTGAGAGAACAGCATCGAAACATGTATATTATCAAGTATGAAACAGACCATCAGCCCAGGTTGGATGCATGAGACAAGTGCTCGGGGCTGGTGCACCGGGAAGACCCAGAGGGATGGGGTGGGGAGGGAAGCGGGAGTGGGGATCGGGATGGGGAACACATGTAAATCCATGGCTGATTCATGTCAATGTATGGCAAAAACCACTACAATATTGTAAAGTAATTAGCCTCCAACTAATAAAAATAAAGGAAGAAAGAAATATTAGGGAGTAAGGTATGCATCTAGTAAAAATTTTAGTTGCTTGAGAGAAACCTTAAAACCAGCTGTTCTTCCTCTGTTAAAGCCCTATTCCTTTATGTATATTCCCTATACATCTCTTATTCTTTTATATATTCCTGTCTGTGTGTGTGCTTGTGTATATATATATATATATATATATATATATATATATATACACACACACACATAATTTGTCCATGTTAATATGTGTACTTAAACAATTTGATTCCTTTCCAGTTTGGAGGAGGAGATTGTTTTTTTGTTTTCTTACTAGATTGTTAATTACTTGGAATTTGGGGTAGTACCTTATATTGCTCACAGCACTGGTACACTGACAGAGGAACAACTGTGTGGTGAAGGACAGAATGTCACTTGTCTCATTTGAAAAGTTCCTGGCATATATTAGGTGCTAAAGTATTTATTGAAGGATTAATTGTCAGGGGATTATTACCAATGGAAATTTATGACAAGCCGGTCAAAAAGAACAAGTTATATAAATAGCCAGATCTGGCTCCCTGGGACTCTTTTTACACTCTAGTAATTTCCTTGGTTTCCTTTATTTAGTCCTTTAAAAAAAAAAAATGTATAAGTAACCACGTTCGTTGTTGAAAATTTAGAAAGTATAAATGAACATGAAGAAAATAATATTCATAATTCACCACCCCAAAATAACATTGAGCGGTATATACTTTCAGGTTTTATGCAAGCACATAATTATTTATCATTCCTTAGGAAAGGGTTCACATTTTAGAAACATGTGCACATTCAATCATGTATGTATGTTTTTCCTTGGTAAAGTTGAGTTCACGCATGCAGTTTTCTCTAAGCGCTCCTGAAAAGTTGTGTCTCTCTGCTGTCTCCCATTCCTTTCTTCCTGTTCTCTCCTAAACTCACTCTTATCAAACCTTCATGCCCAGTCCCTTCAGTTAGCCTTAGGTTTAGCCAAGGTTAAATCCAGAGGTTTAGCCTCAGCTCCGCTCCTGTTTGACCTCTCAAAAGCTTGGCACTCTTTTCCACTTCCTCACTTTGGGCGCCTGCTTCTCCTGCCCCCGCACTGCTGGGCCTTCACAGTGCCCGTTGCTGACCCCTCTCCATTTCTCTGCCACTGAATGTTGCAGTCTCCAGGGCTCAGTCTTCCCGCTTCTTAGCTACATTCTGTCTCCAGGTGATCTCGTTTAGTCTCGTGGCTTTAAATACCGTCTGTGTACTGGTAATTCCCCAATATTATCTACAGGTCAGACATTTCCTCCACTTACATACATAGTAGACATCTGAAACTTAATATAACCAAAACCAACCTCCTGATATCTATCACCCACAAAAAACAAATAACCACTCCTCCTCTAAGTCAATAATTGGCAATTTAGGCCAGAAACCTTGCAGTCATTTGCAGTTGAAGTTCTCTGGAAAGCAGAATGAGACACAGATTAGCAAGCTGTTAGTTTATTAGAGAATGCTCTGAGGATCAACAGCTCCAGAAGGCAAGAGAGGGAAGAAGGATGGAAGGATAATTTAGGCTGCAGTCAGTCTTAGCACAGGCCTGAGGCAGCTGGGGGGGGGGGGGCGGGGCACGGGGGGCCCCTGACTCTCAGGTGACTCATCGTGGTTGTCCCAGCTTGTGGCCAGGGGCCAGGAAACTAAATGACATCGCCTGGGAAGCAAATGCAGAAAAGAAGCTCAAGGACTGAGCCCTGGAGAACTCCAGTGTTTGTACCATGACGTCAGCCGGCCGTCAGCTAGAGGCTGCCCTGGGGGGAGGGCGTGGGCTTGGCATTCTTCAGCAGAGGCCGTCGCTGGAATTTGCCATCAGGGTGCTGTCTGCCAGCAGCAGCCCCGGGGTCTGAGGAGTAAGTGCCTTGCTCCTGAAGGGGCCCTGTGCTGAGTACGGCAGTGTTTACTGCATCATCTTTCCCTGCTTTTTCTCATACCCCACATTCAGTCCAAGCTAAGGTCGTTTCTGCTCTCCATATCCACCCCAAATCTGACGGCTCTGGCTTCTTCCTCTTCTACCAGTTTGGTCCAAACCACCCCGTCTCTCGCTTAGATTATTGTTGTGTCCTCTTCCTGGCCTCCTGCCTCCGCTCTGTGCCTGTCTCCACACAGCAGAGTAATCCCTTTAGTTAATTTACTTATGAATGTATTTTTGGCTGTGCTGGGGCTTCTTTGCTGCATGGGCTTTTCTACAGATGCAGCAGGCGGGGGCTGCTCTCTAGCTGCTGTGTGTGGGCTTCTCACGGGGGCGGCTTCTCTTGTGGGGGGCATGGGCTGTGGTGCGCGCAGGCTTCACCAGTGGTGGCCCGCGTGCTCAGCAGTTTTGGCTCCCGGGCCCTAGAGCACCGCCTCAGTGGTGTGGCCTGTGGGACCTTCCCAGATCAGAGATCAAACCCCGGTCTCCTGCACTGGCAGGCGGGTTCTTATTCACTGAGCCACCCGGACAGCCCTAGAGTAGCCCAGGTCACATCTGTGCACCCAGTGCTCTGGCCCTCCTACCACCGAGAGTGAGATCCCGTCATTCCCGTTGCTCCCAGGGCCCTCCCCGCCTGGCCTCCGTCCCTTCCCTGCCACTCTTCTCCTCCTCGCTCGGACCTCTCCAGCCACGCTGACCCTTGGGTCCAGTCTTCGGGTCCCTCCTGGCCTTCCCGTCTGCTCTCCTGATGGCCTCCCTGTCTTGTCAGTTTCTCCTCCCCTTTTCAGTCAGCCGGTCTTGTAGGTTAAAAAGATGTCTGTCATCTCAGCAGTAACCTGGTCAAGGTTATCCAATGAGAAAATCCCTGTAGAGCATAGAAAAGTTGAAGCCTTTGCTTCTCCCGCTCTCTCTCGTTCCTCAGTGCGGGAGCGTTAGCATGCTGGGAAGAGGAAATAGCTGTTGACGCGCTGAGTGATGCCGAGGTTTGCTGTCCAGTGCTCTCCCGCCCCGCCTCCCGCGGCTCCGGGTTGCCTTCTGGAAAACCCGCTCCTCCCACTGCAGCTGTGTGGTAGGGTCGGGGTCATGCCCCTTCATACGTGGAGCTGACCATCTCTCACTCTTTGTTCCCTCTACAGAGCTTTTCATCCTACTATAGAGGAGGATTTGAACAGAAAATGAGTAGGCGAGAAGCGAGTCTCATTTTGGGTGTAAGGTAGGTGTGCTGCGTAAGTGCTGTTCTGTGGCCGAGTTTGTCTCGAAAAAGGAGAAAATGTGACAATAAAATTATATTTTAAATTATGAATAGGCAGAGGAGAAAATAGCAACGTTTTACATTTCCAGACCTTGAGTCTAAGAGATTATCCTACTACTTCTAAAAAAAAAAAAATTAGGTATAGTTGTGCTGTGCCTTTATCCCTCAACAAGGAGCTGTTGTGTTTGAACACTAAAATTTCAACACAGTTCTCAAAACCCCTTATTGTGACCTTAAATTCTTTCTGAATTCAATTTTCTAATTTGATCTGTATCATATTTTCAATTATATCATGGAATCTATTTCACAATTCTCTAGTTCCACAATTTGACAGCGAGCATGTTTTATTATACTTATTTCACCTTAGTAGCCATTTATTGTCTGACTTTGAACAGTATAGGAGATAGTTAATGATCCTTTGTGATTACTGTATGATATCATTTAACACTGAGAATTAAGAATACATCCCTAGCATAGATTTACCAGTATCTGTATTTGTTTATGTTCCCTAGAGCTCACTCAAAATTTTATTTGGGTTGGTTATAGTATGTCACCTACAATAAATCTTACGGTGACTTAGTCAACATAATTAAGCAGAATAGATCATAAAGTCCTATATTGACAGAATTTTTAAGTCTCTTGTAGGTTAGCAGATATTTAAAGCCAAAACATTTTGTTATTTCTTATGACTAATCAAAAAAACCACACACACAAAAAGTGGGTAAGAGAGAAACAGGTCATTTTGGCTTGGTGCTTCATTTAAATATTGAAAGAGATGAGCTTTCTCACCAGGAATACAAAAAAGAAATGATTTTAAGCAGGGGAAACCACACTGTTAAATTAGCTGTGTTGCTAACTATTCTTTGCTTTAATATTATTCTGAATGCCATTGTTATTTTTCTGAGGTCCCTATATTATCCCATTCACATTTCTGGATATGTGAATACAAAGCACATTACTAAACCAAACAAAAGTGTTTGAGGTATCATTTAATATCATCCAGGGTACTCCTGTTTCTAGTATAGATAATTTGGAGTTGACTTAAGATACATGATTATTAAGTTTTATTCCATTGAGCGGGAAGCTGTCCAGAAGTTCACAAGGAAAATTGAATGACTAACAGCACAGTGAATAACAGTGAATCCGGGTACCAATATCAGTTTTACCACTTGTTAGCTGGGTGGCCTCAGTGTCACCATTAGTTTCTACTGCATAGGACTGCTGCAAAAATTAACACATAGGAAGTTTTTTTTAGCATAAACATATCACTTAGTAACTACTTAGTAAATATCAGCTAAGCAAACAGATTCTGGTTCTGTCACGGAGGCACTGATTTTTAGCTTTTATGCACTTCAGCGTCTTCATTTTTGACTTGCAATTAATACTACTTTGCCTTGTTGGAATAATGTAAAATGCCCCACTTAGTACCTTTTCTATCAAAGTGCTTACCAGAGAACAAGTGCTGAATAAAGGTTGGCTCCCCTCTCCTGTCTCTCTCATGAGTGCAAAGTCTAAATATTTGCCTTTAATGCATTACATAGAAAGGTAAAGTTTGTTTGCTTTCCTCTAGCCCTTTCTTTCAGTCAGGCAGTGTTGTTCTGAGGAGATTCTTTTAAGATGTGAATACACTGCTGTGGTTCCATTTTCCTTGGTCTTGGGATCCAAATGATTTAGACTATATGACAAATAGGTAAAGACAAAATGGGGCTGACTCTGTTGATACCCTACTTAGAAACAAAGAAATTCTGTATGTTACCAGATGATTCTGTTTTCTTACCATATTGCATAAAGCCTAAGTTGCTTGGGAAACTTACTATACCTGCTATTTTCTGAAATTAAACATACATTTGTGATACTCAGACTTTCTAAAAACTTCTGTGGAGCTCTCTCTAAATGTTATTTAATAGACTAGTGGTAGAAACCAAAGCTGCTCTATTTGCTACAGGATCAGGAAACACTGCTCTCTTCTACACACCCTAATCCCCTACTCTCAGTCAGATAGATTCCAGGGAGCAGTTTGAAATCCCTGATCTGGGCAACATTATATTTCAAGTTCCATTTTCAATTCATAGTGAAATTGCCTGTGCTGGAGATATATCAGATCTACATTTAATTATTTATGCTTTGTTTAAGAACTAAGATTCTCTCATTTAGGTAGGTGTTTTGTTTCTAGGAATGTATCTATTTCATCTAGGGTTTCCAGTGTCTTATTGTATAGTACAGCCTCTTATCCTTTGTATTTCTGTTGTATCAGTTGTAATCTCTCCATTTTCATTTCTGATTTTACCTGAATTCTGTTTCCTTGGTGAGTATAGCTTCTGGTTTGTCTGTTTTCTTTACATTCTCAACACACACACACAAAAAAACCTCTTGGTTTCATTGATTTTTTTTTTTTTTTTTTTGGTCTTTTAGTCTCTATTTCATTTATTTTCACTGTGATTTTTCTTTTCCTTCTACTAATTTTAGGCTTAGTTTGTTCTGCCTATACTTCCCTGCAGTGTAAAGTTAGGTTGTTTGAGTTCTTTTCTTTCCCCTTAATGTAGGATTTTAATACTATAAACTTTCCTCTTAGAACTGCTTTGGCTGCATCCCAGAAGTTTTAGTAGGTTGTTTCTTTGTCTCAGGATATATTTTGATTTTTCTTTTGGCTTCCCCTTTAACTTAAGACTTATTTATTTTCTTTACAGAAGAATACTTTATATGTTTATGTAGCAATTGATAGTGTATTTTTAGCATGTTTGCTGGTCTGTTGTTTAACCCCAGGAGATTAGAAGCAGCAAGTAACAATTTGAGACTAGAATCCTGCCAGAATTGAGGATTGGCAACTGACAGCAAGGAATGCGTGTTCAAAACAGAATGTGAACATTTTATGACCAATTAGTAGAAGGGCAAACAAACCTCTGCAGACCTTGAGAATTTCTTTCCACTTAACTGATATTGTGGTAATGTTTTTTGAGTCATTCGAGAAATGCTCGATTAGATTATTTATACTTCATTTTTTTAATGTACATTTTTACTTATGAGAAAATTATAACTCAGTTAAGTAAGCAAGACAGTTTTATAGATAATGAGCAATGGATTTAAACCTGTGTCTGAATATCTCTACAAGTACCTGCTGTTAGTCCCTGTAGTGTGGTTCATCCATACAGATTATTTTGAGTTTCATAGCAACCACCTGTGCTTTGAGTTAGCCACTGTTATTTCCCTTTGAGGCCCAGAAAAATAGCTTAGATAAGCTAGTGTAAATATTAAGTAGCAACTCCAGGATTTTGTTACTATTAGCGTAAATTTTTTCTCTTGCCTAGAAAATGTACTAGAAAGAATGATTTCCAGTACTTGAATAAATTAGGTTTTACAGGGATACTTTTAGGCTTATTTAACTTTCTCCTTCAATTTTTGTTTAGAGTTTAGGCTCTCACAGCCAAGTTTTCCTATAGATTTCTCACAAAACTAAATAAATTAATGAGCTATGAAGAGTTTTGAGATGTTCTGTTGAAAGATAATAATAGTAAAAACTAACTATTATGGAACATTTGCCACACATACCAGACCTTGTTGTAGCACTTTGTTGGCATTAACTAATTTAATCCCTCGTAATTATTTTATGAGGACTGTGTTGTTCCTGGCTGGGTTTTACAATGAAGAATCTGAAGCACAGGGAGGGTGAAACATGTGGCCAAGGCCACGCCATCCTTCTTGGAGGCGGAAAAGGCACCAGCTCCAGTGTTCTTGCGGGAAGAATCCCATGGACAGAGGAGCCTGGCGGGCTGCCGTCCAGGGGGTCGCAGAGAGTCAGACCTGACTGACAGTGTGAGCACACACCGCATCCTCAGGGCAGTGCTGGGGTTAGACTCCTGCTGTCTGGCCGCTCTAGAGTTCAGATACCTGTCTGTTACATTGTATATACTGCCTCCCCCCTCCCCCCCTAAAGAGCCTGAAGCATAAATTTTCACACTCAAAGTAATAGTCTATAGACTATGATTTCCCTGTCCTATTTCTTGTGGATGTTTTTTTAATTGAGACAAAGGACTGAAGAAGGTACATGTAGCCTTGGATCTGATTTATTTTGATGGTTGGTAGAATGAAGTGACAAGCTGTAATTTTATATTTATCCACAAGATGGTGAAATTCTCATTAGTTTTTAATTTCTTGAAACTCATATAAACTGTTAATTTATAATCTGCATTTGATGCTATTTGTTACAAGCACTTTCTTTTTACAGCCCATCTGCCAGCAAGGCCAAGATTAGAGCAGCTCACAGGAGAATCATGATTTTGAATCACCCAGATAAAGGTAGGTAAAATTCTGTTTTTCATAATATGTGAACCAGCATACGCTCTGTATTTCTTTGTTTACTTCAACTCATTATAAATGATAATATTTGAAATGGAAATTTATATGTCACACGTGTTGTGAGTTTTCTTATAAATAAATGAGCCTTTAGATTGGAGTTCAGTGACTCACAGAGGTGATAGATTTATAGTTATCAGCTTTTGAGAACTTAGTTCCTGATTTCTATATGTAAGCTATCTAACCCCTGTTTGAGGCTCCTAGCATTTTGATGGAAAAGAGAAAAGATGAATTATGGACTCTTTGATTGTATAAACTGATTTGGGTATAATGAATTGTATTTGTTTAACCTTACACATAAAAGACCAAGATTTAGAGGATCTTCTCTAAATCTCTGCATGTATGTCACACATGATGCTGAGTTTCTTAATTTTATTTTAGAAGGCTCTGAGGCTGAGCCATTTGTTTTTCACTGGCCAGGTTTTTAATGTAAATTTATCTTACAGAAAGACAATTATTATAACTTTAACTACATTACAGCTGCTTGAGAGAAAAAGCCCATATGTTCATTACTGTTTCTGCTCTACAATAACAGATGGTGGAAAGTTACACTGTATTTTAGGAGTCAAAAGTGGGGGTGGAGGTGGGGGGTGGCAGAGAGTGCAGGGTTTCTTGTATCCTTACAGACTTTTAATTTTTGAATTATTTTGAAAAAAGTTAAAAGCAAATTTTGGGTTCCTCTCCATCCTAACTGACTCCAAAATAAGGCATTCTTTTTCAGCTTTCTCACTTAATTACTTACTATAAAAATCCTTTTCACTGAATATCATCTCCTTTGGTTTTCGCACTTGCTATTCTTTCATGTGAATAAACCAGAGACTAAACTTTGAAAAGAGGTTTTGCTTAAAATTTCTAAACAGCTTCAACAGTTAGTCAAAGATCCATTCAACTAATTTACTTTGCATTGTGGGTTTTCAGAGTAATTGACTCAGAAACAAATGTGTTTTAAGGGCCTACTTGAAGCTTTCTGTCTCCTAAACATCTTCCATCCCTTCCGGGTCAAGTGTGTGGCCGTCTCTGATTGATTGCAGGGGGATCAAGCACTTTTGTCTTTAAGATGATTGACAAGCTATTGATTGTGTCTACTGGCAAAGAATTAAGCTCTAAAAATGTTTCTAAAAGAATATGTATTTTTAGATACTTTCAGTAAAAAAAAAAAAAAAGTTTATGTTGGTTATGAGCCAGTAGTGGTTAAAGAATTATTTGATTTATTCTGAGATTTTATATTTATGAGAAGTGGGGCTGTTGGCTCCCCCTCATGTGCTTACTAACATTCTCCAGTCTGGTGGCATTGTGGGAGGGAATGGATGTAGAAGTATTCTTCCCCGACTTTTGCCTTCTAGCTAGCATCATGGGCTTGAACATCTCTTAATCTCTCTAAATGTCAGTGTTTTCATCTACAAAATGAATGGGTTTTTCACAAGCCTTTTTTCAGTATATGATATATTTAATGTTTTTATATACCTGTTCAATTAATTAAGAACCCTCTCTCTCTATTTGGATCACATTTTTAACTAAAGAAAGATGCTTTTAATCACCAGTTGTCAATAACAGATCTGTTGACAACTGGAGACATCTTGTCCATGTAGTTGCTCATTCATCCAACATTTTACAACATTTGGAGTTTCAGAGAGTTCTTAGACTTCTTAAAACCCCTCCATATACTCATAGTTAAGAATTCCTGCTCTAGTAAAAATATGATGATTTAAGGAATATTGCCAACTACTTGAGGGAAAAGAATTCATATATGTTGGAGCTGGGAGATGATCATAAATCTGGAAACTGTCTCTCCAGAGGGAAGGTTGTTTTGCTTCATTTTTAAAGGGAAGAAGATAATGGATTTTGATGTTGTTTATTTCACAATGGTTTACATATTCTGATTTCTAATTCTACAGTAGTTCCCACCCCCCCCCCCCCAGGAATATTTATTTATTTATTAGTCTGCACAGGATCTTAGTTGTGGCATATGGGATCTAATTCCCTGACCAGGGAAGTGTGAGAATGGGCAAGCTTTCCTGGTGGCTCAGACCATAAAGAATCTGCCTACAGTGCAGGAGACCTTGGTTTGATCCCTGCTTCTGGAAGATCCTCTGGAGGAGGGAATGGCTTCCCACTACAGTATTCTTGCCTAGAGAATCCCATGGACAAGAACCTGGTAGGCTACAGTCCATGGGGTCTCAGAGAGTTGGACACGACTAAGCAACTAAGCATGTGAGAATCTGCAACTCTCAATTTGCCTCCTCTTTTTATAATTCTTCACCATGTTTGCTTTGGCCAGGTCACCCTTGAGTGTTATATAGGTGATTGCAAAAACTTGACTCCTCTACCCAGTGCTTCTGAAATTCATGAATATTCTCCCCCCCTACCACCCTACCCACAAATGACTTTGTTCTTGGTTTTGCCACCAGCTGGTAAAACAGAAGCTAGAACTTCAAATGTGTGATCAATGATAATTTGTTACATATTTCATTATCACCTTGGGCAGAGAAAGTGACACCAGAAAAATTAGGTGTGGAAATGACTGGAAATAAATTTTTTGTAACCAGTTTTAAGTGAGCATTCAGACATACTTTGGTAAAAAGTAAATTTTGCCTTTTCTTTGAGTGAAAAAAGGTTAAGGCAGTAAAAATGTCTCAGATCTTTGATCTAATGCCTTTAGAATACCTTTTAATTAGATTATAGTTTTAAAAATTACTGGAGAAAAAGATTAGTTGTTATGAAGTCAGTAGTAGTAGTGTTAATCGCTAAGTTGTGTCCAGCTCTTTGTGACCCCATGGACTGTAGCCCACCAGGCTCCTCTGTCCATGAAATTCTCCAGGCAAGAATACTGGGGTGGGTAGCCATTCCTTCCTCCAGGGCATCTTCCTGACCCAGGGATTGAACCCAGGTCTTCCACAGGGCAGGCAGATTCTTTGCTGTCTGAGCCCCCAGGGAAACCCAAGACAACCGGAGTGAGTAGCCTATCCCTTCTCTAGGGGGTCTCCCCGAACCAGGGTCTCCTGCACTGCAGGCAGATTCTTCACCAGCTAAGCCACCAGGGAAGCCCAGGTAACTTGCAATCAGTAGTTTGACATTAATGCCTAACAAAAGTACAAAGGAAAACAGACTCAGTTAACTTTGAAAAACTATGGAACCTCTCATAGACTACCTAATCCATGCTTCTCAAAGTGTAGCTTGGCTGTTCGTTCCAGGCGGGTTTGTTAGCTGTGTGCAAGAAATCAAAAACTAAAATCAACAGTAAGCCTTCAGACATCTTTATAGCCATTTGACATTGTTGTGACATGAAGTATGGGATACCTTTGTGTTTTGTGAAATGTTGGTCCACCATGGAGTAGAAGCCAAGTTTTAAAGTGCTTCACGATGCAACATCACTTTCAGTCTACCTCAGCCTTAAAGGTATCACTATCTTGATGTATGATATCATAGGTTAGCTTTGTCTCTTGAGTATCTAGTCGTGTGCATCTGGCTGCTTTCGATCAACATTGTCGCCGTGGGAGTCATCGCTATTGTAATGTGGAGCAAGTGTTTGTTTATTCTCATTAATATAGCAGCCTTAGCAAGGTGTGCACTGTGGACCCCCAGGATGACTCTTTTAGGAATTTATTCTTCCATTTTTGGTTTTCAAGCCTTCTTTGGGTATACAAAGTAATTATTTTTTGAATTCCATGTGGTGGCTCAGATGGTAAAGAATCTACCTGTAATGCAGGAGACCCAGGTTTGATTCCTGGGTTGGCAGGATCCCCTGAAAAAGGAAATGTCAACCCTCTCCAGTATTCTTACCTGGAGAATTCCATGGACAGAGGATCCTGGTGGGCTACAGTCCATCGCATCTCAGAGTCAGACACGATTGAGTAACTATCACACACACAACGTATTTGTAGGAAAGTAACAATTTTCAAACTCTTTGGTCTCAGGTCAAAAAGTGTATCAATAAAAATGATCAACTAGAGAGATCTATTGGAGAAGGCAATGGCAGCCCACTCCAGTACTCTTGCCTAGAAAATCCCATGGACAGAGGACCCTGGTGGGCTGCAGCCCATGGGGTTGCTACGAGTCAGACACGACTTCACTTTCACTTTCACTTTCCCTTTCATGCATTGGAGAAGGAAATGGCACTCCAGTGTTCTTGCCTGGAGAATCCCAGGGACGGGGGAGCCTGGTGGGCTGCCATCTATGGGGTCGCAGAGAGTCGGACACGACTGAAGCGTCCCAGCAGCAGCAGAGAGATCTGTAAATTAGAAGAGATTAATTTTCTTTGGCTCCAAAATCACCGCAGACGGTGACTGCAACCATGAAATTAAAAGACGTTTGCTCCTTGGAAGAAAATCTATGACAAACCTAGACAGCGTATTAAAAAGCAGAGACATTACTTTGCCAACAAAGGTCTGTATAGTAATCAAAGCTATGGTTTTTCCAATAGTCATGTTTGGATGTGAGAGTTGAACCATAAAGAAGGCTGAGCACTGAAGAATTGATGCTTTCAAACTGTGGTGTTGGAGAAGACTCTTGAGAGTCCCTTAGATTGCACCGAGAAAAAAAAGTCTTTGCTAAAGGAAATCAACTCTTAATATTTATTGGAAGGACTGATGCTGAAGCTGAAACTCCAGTACTTTGGCTACCTGATGGGAAAAACCAACTCATTGGAAAAGACCCTGATGCTAAGAAAGATAGAATGCAGGAGGAGAAGGGGATGACACAGGATGAGATGGTTGGATAACATCACTAACTCAGTGGATACGAGTTTGAGCAAGCTCTGGGAGATGGTGAAGGACAGGAAAGCCTGGTATGCTGCAGTCCTTGGGGTCACAAAGAGTTGGATAGGACTGAACAACAACAAAATTTAAATTCAAAAAGGATAAATATAATATTCTTTTAGGGCCCCCAAATCAACTGTATAAATATGGGAAAGAGATATGGCAGTGTTTCACATGAAAGAGAGTCAT